TTAGAATTTCCTGCTTTGCTGAGAAGTCTGCCAGACACATTGTAGTCTGTAGGCTAAAGATGGATGCCCCAAGGTTACCAAGAAACTTTGGGTGACTGTCTAGGAAGCAAGGTGTCTCTGTCAGTTCTAGAGTTTATATATTATCCTTCTATAGTCTTTGATGGAGTTGAAGATAGATAGTTATAGTAACACACTAAGATAGAATGGTTAAAATCTTATAGTTCTTACTTAATAACTGTTTTCTTATATATAAAGAAGGTGGAGATGTTGGAACCCAGCCCCCATGGGGTCTCTAAGAGTTGTTTTCCAGCATAACCACAGGTACCTCCTGTTTTCCTGACCTCACCCCACTGGGATCAATATCTTGTTGTGAACCCTCTGACCTGGAGTTTTTGTAAGTTTGTATATAAGGCTGCTCCACACTAAATGAGAGAGACATTCTCTCAGAAAAGGACCAGGAGTCTTGTGGTTCATCTAAATCTCCAGGCTTTTGCCCAATACTCGGACTTAGTGGCCAAGAGCAGCCACAGGAAACCATTCTCACGATATATTATATGAGAAAAAATGTATTTTCAATAAAATGAAAAATACTGAATTTAATTTTAAAAGTTACAATATGATCCAGCAATTCCATTTCTGGGCATGCGCTAAAAAAAAAACTGAAAGCAGGCCTTGAGGTTATTTGTACAGTTGTTTAAAGCAGCATTATTGCCAGGTATAGCAGTACAAGCCTGTAATCCTAGCACTCAGAAGTCTGGTAAGTTCAAAGCCAGCCCCAGCTATCAAGAAAGACCCTGACTCAAAAACAAAGGAACCAGCAATGTGTGACAAAACATGTCTCTACTCCCAGCACTTGAAAGGCAGAAACTGGTAAATCTCTATAAACTTGAGGCCAGCCTGTTCTAAACAGTGGATTCCTGGCCAGCTATGAACTACATAGTGAAACCCCGCCTCCACAAAAAAAAAAAAAAACAAAATAAACAGCAAAAAGCAGCATTGGGCTGGGGATGTAGCTCAGTTGATGCATTGCATGCATGAGGCCCTGGGTTCGATCCCAAGCACACCATAAAACCAGGAGTGGCGGCATGCACCTGCCATCCTTGCATGTAAATGTAGAGGCAGAATGATTAGAAATTAAAGTTTAACTTCAGCTATTTATCAAATCCAAATCCAAATCCAAGGTTTAGCTGCATGAGACCTTGTCTCAAAAAAGTTGGTGGGGGAGGGGCAACAATGGGGACTTGGCTCAGTGGTTAAGAGCGCTGGCTGCTCTTTTAGAGGAAGCTGATTCAATTCCCAGCACCCACATGGCGCCTCACAACCACCTGTGATTCTATCCTGGGAGATTCGATAGCCTCTTCTGGCCTCCATGGGCACCAAACACTCCAGTGATACACAGACATACATGAAGATGGAATACCCATACACATAAAATAAATTTAAACAAAAATTAAAGGTGACGTTTTTCATTCATTTCTTTTTTTCTTTTGCATTGCTAGGCCTCACGCGGGCTAAGCAGGCGCTTTACCACTGACTGTGCCCCTGCCTGGAGCAGTATGCCCAAATATCAAAACAGGAAGACAAATTAATATTCATCCCAAGGTGGGGAAGCAAATATGCCACATTCAGACACTGGAGTTTTTAGCTTTCAAAAGTAAGGAAATGGGGTCTGGACTTGGCACTGCACGATACAGCCCTTTTCCTTTTTGTCAAATAGGATATTGTTCTGTATCTCTGGCTAGCCCAGAACTCACTGTGTAGATCCTGGACTCCCAGAGATCTGCCTGCCTCTACCTCTCAAGTGCTGGGATTAGAAAGTATGTACCACCGTGTAAGAAGTTAAAAATGTAGCTCACTTGGTAAAAGCGCTTGCCTAGCATGCATGAGGCCATGGGTTTGACTCCCCAACACTGCCTGCAATCTTAGCACTTGGGAAGTAGAAGTGGAAGCCGGGCGTTGGTGGCACACACCTTTAGTCCCAGCACTCGGGAGATAGAGGCAGGCAGATCTCTGTGAGTTCGAGAACAGCCTGGTCTACAAGAGCTAGTTCCAGGACAGCCTCCAAAGCCACAGAGAAACCCTGTCTCGAACTGCCCCCCCCCCAAAAAAAAGAAGTGGAAGTGGATAAGGAATTCAAGGGTCTTCTCAGAGGCACAGAGTTTAAGATCAGTCTTGCTACATGAGGCCATCTCAAAAACACATGTGTGTATTCATAGTATGTGCCATCCCACACATACACACGCACAGAAAATTAAATAAAACTAAAACAAAAAACATGGAAAGTTGCAAAGCTGGTGAGATGAGTCAGCAGCTAACAGAGTTTGTGGCAAAAGCCTGGTGACATGAGTTCTACCAGCAGAACTTACACAAAGATGAATGGAAAGGACCAGTCCCATGAAGTCATCCTCCAACCCGGTAGGATGCCCTTGGCACCTTACCTCACCCCATCACACACACAACTAAACAATTTTAAAAGGGGCTGAGACGGCTCAGTGGTCACAAGCATGGCTCTTTTAGAGGACCCAAGTTTGGTTCCCAGTTTCCATGGCAGGCAGCTCACAACTCCTTTGTACTCTAGGACCAGAGGGTCCAAAGCCTTCTCTAGCTCCAGGAACACCTGCGCTAATCTACATACCGGTGTACAAAAAACCTAAAATATAATTTCAAGACCCTTTTAAAACTGGGCATGGGCTGGAGAGATGGCTCAGAGGTTAAGAGCACTGGCTGCACACCCAGAAGTCCTGAGTTCAATTCCCAGCAACCACATGGTGGTTCACAACCATCCATAATGGCTCCCTCTTCTGGAATGCAGGCAGAACACTGCATACATAAATAAATAAATCTTTAAAAAAAAAAAAAAACTGGGCATGGTGGCACATGCCTTTAATATCAGCACTCAGAAGGCAGAGGCAGGTGGATTTCTGTAAGTTCAAGACCAGCCTGTTCTATGTAAAGAGACTCTTGTCTCAAAAAACAAAACAATAAAACAACCTTTTAAAAAATTGTTAAAATGAAAAGTTTCATGTGCCCTCCTCCAAACACAGAGATTAAAAACCATGACAACACACCTGGACCAGAACAAATTTCCTTACAAGATATTACTGGGACAAATGGCACAATTGGAATACAGGTTATAAATTAGATACCTAAATCGATGTTAAAACTTGTTTTTGATAATTATGCTATCAATAAGTAAGAGACCCTTCCTTTTAGGACATACTAAAATATTACATGTAGTGATGAAAGGCATGGTATGTACAGTTCACTATCAGGTGTTGGGGAATTCGTATATACTCCTAGGGAAGAGTGAAGAACCAAGTCTCAACTGGAGATCCCACTAAAGTCAGTTTTCTGTATAGTTCTTGTAACCTTACTGTATACTTGAAAAGAACGTTTCCAAAAATTAATACATCAGGATGAAATGGTTCTCTCCAAAATCTGCTCCACCTACACCCATTCTGCCCATGACCAGCCCTCTCCAGCTGCTCCCCCAAAATTCTTGAGCTGGGGCCTGAGACGGCAAAGGCTCTTGCTGGCAAGCATGACAACAGTTTGACCCCACACCACAGGAGGAGAGGACGGACTCCTCCAAGTGTCCACTGGCATCCACACCAACTCCCTTCACAAATGAATATAATTTTAAAAGAAAAAAGTTAATTTTTGGAGCCAACTTTCTCCCCCGCATTCCAGGCGGATCCATTTCCAAGTCCTATTGGCTGTAGCACTGAAATGTTTCCAGGGCCGCTTCCCTTTCACCCAACTTCCTGCTGCCCTTAAGCCTCCACTTTCTGTCTCTAGTCCTGCACTGAAATCCATCAGCCTTTTCCTTTGTGACTTCTGGCGTTAATACTAAACTTGCGAAATTGTAGTCCAGGAAGTGTTTCACCTGTTACCTCTAATGTTGCCCAAGACAGATAAAAGCTGTTAGCTTCTATTTATTTAGATAGCCTCACCCCAGCTCAGACTGACCTGGGTGCCACGCTATATACCCTGCTGCCTCAAGCTTCTCAAATGCCGAGATTACTGGCATGAAACACCACGTCTAGTTCCATCTCCTCTCAATAGCTCCTCACTGGTCCCCAGGGTCACTTTTACTCCATTTCAACCCAGGTCACTGAACCCTTCCGCTCAGAACTGTCCCGTGTCTGGGTGGTTTCACATCTCCCTCCCAGGGCTCCTTGGGCAGATGCGTCAGTCGCCCATCGCAGGGCCAGGCAGTTATTTACAAAGTAACTGGATGCTGGAAAGTTCCCTAGGGAACGTGTGATGGCCGCCGCTATGAGGACTATCCTCGGTTCCCACTGAAAAAAAAAGACCATACTTGGCCGAGTAAAAACCAGCCTTCCCAAACCCATACAGCGGGGGATGGAGGATGGGGACTCCAGGACACAATGGGGAGGGGTAGGAGAGCTGGAAGCCTCAAGGCTCCACCCTTCTTGCCAGTCTGGGCACCTCACTCTGCTTCCATGCCCCAGCCTGGGCCGACCCCACCATGGGCAGCGATGAGGGGGGCCACCCCGGGAGCACCCTAGCCTCGCAGCCTGCAAGCGGAGACCTAATAAGGCTGGGCTGGCTGCGGCGGCCCCGCCCTCCACTCCACCCCCGCGCATTCTTCTGCCTAGTAAGGCCTGGCCGCCGGCAGTCCCACCAGCGCGGTCTCCGCCCCCAGAGCACAGAGCAGGGGCCCCAGCGGCTGCCAGCCAGCTTCTGCAGCACCGCAGCAGCACCGGCCCGGACTTTTCTTCTCTGCAGCAGGTGGGAGCCGGCGCAGAGCCTGGGCAGCTACAGTAGGTGGTCAGGCCGAACCTCAACCGGCCCGCAGAGGGCTGTGGCATGCAAAGTGGTGTGGGCTGGGGCTGCTACCTTACTCGGGTCCTATGGGAACCTGGCTAGGTACTGAGCAATTGATAGTTCTACGCCTGGGAAAACTGGTCTTTGGGCAAGGAAAAGTGTCTAGAGTGTCCCTTTGCTAAGGAGCCACACACGAATCCCAGAGCTCCAGGCTACCCGCCTGTAGAGAGCTGGTGTGGGGGCCCTGACCCAAGAAACCGTGTGTGTCAGAGGAAACTGAGCCCTGCGGGGCTCCATTCACCTCCAGGGCACAGGTTTCCTTTCCCCCCATTGTGCATACCCTGGAGCAGGAGAGGGAGGAATGGTGACCACCCTCGCACCTCCCACTGCCTATACCCCAGTGTTGTGTGCACCAGACACAATAGTGAGATGGGGAGGTTGACGTCTTTGCTCCTTCACAGCCCACTAGCTGCCCTGGTGCTTCCAGGGACTTGGAGTACTTGGTCGCTAATAAGCTGGTTCAAGAGCAGGGTATCTGGCACTGCCCAGCCATGGGGACAGTAATGAGTAAAGGGTCTGGGCTGGCTTCTGCCTGGATGTCAGCTATTACGGTAGGAAGAAGTGGTCTAGTCATGGCCAGGCCGGGTACCAACTGTCTGATCTTTGGTGTCTAGAACATAAGAAAGGGGAAAACACAGCTTCAGGGTTAAAGGCCCAGAGTAGCCCTAACCTCCAGAGACTGCCTGGCCATAGCCTTTGCCACCCACTGACCCCAGCCTAACCCGGTGTCCTGGCATCCAGCCCTCTCATGCATTTCCTCTGGGGGACACTGCCTCTCACAAGTGCTAGGATGAAGAGGGCAGGAATACAGGTGGCTGTAACAAGCAACAGGGGAGCCTGGCTGGGCCTGCCCTAGAGGTCTGCAGACAGGAGGGGCTAGGAATGTTGATGGCCATCTCAGCCTGGCCACAGAGAGGAGGGGGCCGGCTTCCAAGGATAACATTCCTGCCCTCAGTTCCTACCAACACCCATCCAGCAACGCACAAAGAAATACCAAAGCCTTTTGTGTGATGGAGGCCCATTGGGCCTTACACAGCTAGTCCTACAGGCAGATGTAGCCTGAGGACCATGATTGGGCTTTCGGGGGAGGCAGGGGCAGAGGAAGCAGTGCACAGGCTGCCTGCCGAGGGGTACAGAGCGCAGGGCGGAGGGGCAGACATACTGGGGCCTTGGCTAGTTGAGGGGGAGCAGCCACTAAGTCTTGAGATGTATCCTCCCCACAAGCTCTGATGGGTTCAGGTTGAGTGCTTTCCCTGGCCTCAGTTTCCCAGTGGCGCGCATACAACCTTTCACTAAAGAATCATCAACTGGCCTGCTGCTGTGGACTTTTGCTATCAGTAAGGAATGAGGGAGTCTGCAAGTATTGGTTGTCAAGATAAGGGTGAAGAACGGCACCCCCGGGACCCCAGGGCTTAGCTGGAGGAAGAGTGCTATAGAAGGAGCTTCTGGAAGGAAGGCCTGGGAATGGCTGTGGAATGCTGGAGGTCACCAGAAAGATGAGCTCTCATCAAGGGGACACAGTGTGATAGGCCAGCATCAGCCAGAAGCTGGGAGAACACACTCGGGGCTTTAATGCCAGGCTGGGGGACCCAGATTTACTCTGGGGATATGGGGGAGAACAGCACAAAGCTTTGAAGGTTTCAAGGAGTCAAGTGAAGGTCTGAATTTGAATGGGATGGGAGAGACTGGTCCAATGCCAAGAGGCCACATCTAAACGGATCTCTAGTTTCAACTTGAGGAAGCTTCAATGTACAGGAAGTGATAGAGGGCCCACTAGGGACAAGTCAGGCTCCCCGAGGAATGCAGCTGGGTTCTACAGCCCAGAGGAGTGGGGCAGGATAGCACAGAAGATGGATGGAGAGGGCTGGGGGAAGGCTTGGAGATGGAGAGGGCAGGGGGATGGAGAGGGCAGGGGATAGAGAGAGCAGGGCGATGGAGAGGGCAGGGGGATGGGGAGGGCAGGGGGTTAGAGAGGGCAGGGGGATAGAGAGGGCAGGGGGATGGAGAGGACAGGGGGATGGGGGGGACCGGGGGGTGGGGAGGGACGGGGGG